AAAAAAAAAAAAATACATAAATAAATAAATAAATAAATAAATAAAATAATAATAATAATCTATAATTGTTAGAATAAAATTAATTAATTTAAAAAAAATTGGTTAAACCGAAAAAAATAAAAGAAAATTTACCTATCAATTCTGTCTCTTAGCTTCAACAAAAACTTCTCATTATCTTCTTCCACAGTATTAACCAGCCTCTGGATCAAAGTCCTCTTGTCTTCGAACCCGAGACTACGAACATCTACCTCGTCGGCACCTTTCGACCCGAACAAAAGCCCTTTCCTCAGACGATCGAAAGTGGGTAGCTTTTCGAGTGCGGCCCATTTTAAGGCCTCTTCGTCGTCGTCTTCTTCGCGCGCAGAGCGTGAGAAGGCCTCCATGCCCGTGTTTCTCCATATGTTGGAGCTGTTTGATCTAATGCTGCTGCTCGCTTTGTAAAGATCACCTGCATCCATGTTTCTTTTGTTTCGAAACCTCGTACGATAATATGATTATGTGTGTTAGAGTTCTATCTTCCGTTTTTTTGTTCTTCGCCGCGTATATTTTCTTGAAAGTAAGCATGTATTTTAATTGCAGAATTGTAAAGGATTAAAAATATAGGAATTCTTTCCACATCTCAAAGACCTGTCAACATCACGAGTCACCATTTTTTTTGTTATTCTATTTATTTCTTATTTTTAATTAAAAAATATAATTAAGTTGGAAAACGTGATACTATTATACAAATACCAATTAAAATTGTGTCTAGACATTTACCATTCGAGAGTTATTTATCAACATGTTATACGTGGAGAGAACCCATCTATTTATAATTATCCTACAGACAACAATTCACTTCAACAATTGAAGATGTTCCGAGTTTGATCAAGCACCGATTGTGTGCTTTTGGACATGAATGAAAAAAAAAAAAAANNNAAAAAAAAAGACAAAACAGAAACAAAGAAATAATTACGGTTTTTTTTTTTTTTATTTGACTGTCGTATTTTCCTACGGAAGAACGAAGAATGTCAATGAGTTGAATGAATTATGAATATTTTTGCCATGCGGGGTTCTTATAGGCGTGCCTGGGTTGGCTTGACTGCTTTTTGTTAGTTTTTTCATTTGTCTTTCCTTTTACTTCAAAAAAAGAAAAATATTCATTTGTTTCGGTTTAAAATATTGGGAGGAGTCCAGCCTGGTTCATGACCCGTGATTAAAGCTGCAAACGAGTCGAGCAGCTCACGAGCCGCTCGCGAGCGGAGTATATAAGAATATATAGAAAAATGAAATATAAAAAACGTGTGATGGTATTTTTGGGTTTTACGATGCACGAGCTGACATACAACCTCACGGTTAATTTTTATTCATTGTTTTATTTTAATTTTTCTGAGGTGGTGCTTCTAGAAAGTAAGCTACATTCTAGATTTCGGCTTATATATTTTATATATATACGTGGTGCTGAGAAATGTTCACCTACCTACGGTGGGCACACGTTAATATGTCCACCGCGTAGGTGGCATGCACCCATTGGTGATGTATTTTTTTAAACATATTAACATCACCAATGAATGCATGCCACCTACGCGGTGGGCATATTAACATGTGCCCACCGTGAGTAGGAGAGCATTTCTAACATAGTGCTTATATAAAATATTGACTTGATCGGGTAGATACTACGAGCAATTTAATATCGGCCTTCCAGAATCTCACTACTCTAGTTTTGTTCTTGTTGGCAGGCCGATCTAGAAAAGAAATTTAGGGGGACTAGAACTGTTAACGAATCAAATTGTGTTTGTATTACTCGTGAAAACTCCAGTTCAACTTGCAAATATATTTAAACGTGTCAAATTATAACAATTACTAGAGTGTATCCCGTGTGTTGCACGGACGGGCTGATGAAAGTTCCTGTGTTCGCTCAACTCTTTTGCCTCGAACAAAGCTTCGCCATGGCTTGCTCTCAACGATAGGTGTACGACTCGGTTATTAGCTTTATCTTCTCACGATTTTGAACTAGCTTGGGTCTTAGCCTCACTAATTCGGTTGTATGATAAAACTCTCACGAATTCTGAACACACGGAAGAACAAACGTTCTTTTCTATTATGTCATCAATCAACCATATGAAAATAAGAAGAGTACATGGGTATTTATAAGTGCAAAATAAATCTAAGCCTATTCCAACTAGAACTCCTAAATCATGCAATAATATAAATCCTAAGGCAACTAAATCTCATAACATCTTCTACTAATAAAATCCTAACATTACTAGAACTATTAAAGCAACAAGGAAAGTAAATCTCTACTAGAATCCTAATTAAGCTACTAATCTTGATCTCCAAGTCTCCCTTGCTTGCTCCTCAAGTCGGTCGCCCTAAGACCCCAACCGCCCTATCGCGCGCGCCGCCTCGCGGCCTATTCCTTGTCGCGCGTGGCTTCGCGCGCGTGTGTCTCCCATGCGGCGTCCACCGCCTCCGCTATGCCAAGTCCGGTGCGGATTTGACTTCGCGCGCTTGCGCCCCAATCGCGCCCATTGGCGCGCGCCCCTCGTTCGTCGCCCGGCTCTCGCGCGTGTGCGTCCGTCCTCGGGATTCCTACTCCTGCTCGGTCGAGGCCATCACTCGCGTCTGCGCCACCTGCGCGGTTGGCACCACGCCCGCCAGCTCGCCTTTGCCCCCGCGCTCTGCTGACGCCTCGCGCGTGCCGTTAGTCTCCGCGCCCCATGCTCACGCATCACTTGCACGATGCGCGCCCTCCCACTTGCATCCGCCCGCAGGCCTGCAACAATCACCCGCGTGCATCTTCTACCCATCTTCCACCCCTCACGCGCCATTTCTTCTAGCCTTCATTCGCCATGCGCGTCTTTTCCTCGCGCATGCCATGCACCAATCACCTACTTTGCCCGGCACTACACACTCGGCATCTGCCCAATCCTCTTCCTCTTGTATGTTCGCCGTGCGTCTCTTCTTAGCTCGTCTAGCCTTGCGCCTCTTATTGCGTGATCGTGCTCTCTTCCCACAACCTCTTCGCCTAAGGGTTGGCCAATGCTCTTCAATTTGCGGCTCTTCTGGCCCGCTTTGGAGCCAACTCTCGAGATCCTCGTAAGACTCGTCCTTGGGCTCACTAGGGTCGATGACCACTTCCGCATCACGGGCTTATTACTTATTACTTTTTTAAAATTTTTATTTTAAACATAATTATTTACATTTAACATCTCATTATTGCAACAAAATAAATTCAAAATTTAAAAAATCATATATTATTTATTTGAATATAATGAGTGTCCACAACCGAACTAATAACGTCCAACACATGATATATGATAAAAATAATTATATGAATCGTCATGATTCTGAATATATATTCACATTAACATTTGTAATTTCAGTATGAGATGAAAAATGATGTGTACAAAAAAGTAGGTACCAAGAATTCACATAATATGAGATTCTTTCTAAACTTTAAAAGATTTTGCAGTTAGATAAATATGGACAACAAAATTATCAATTAGGTTGAACAATCTGAAATAATAAAAATTAATTTCTGAAAATAAAATTCTTTATTAAATAAATATGAGATTTGTAGATAGATAAATATGGATAAATAATATTTAACAATTAAGTTGGCATGACTTTTCATAAAGATTAAAAAAAATTCAAATCTTTTGTTCGCTAAATGTGTGACCGAATTTGATTCACAAGTTTCATTGAAAAATTTAAAAAAATGATTGATCGATTCTTTTGGGAGCAAGAATTTCATTATTCTTTCTCATTATGGGTTAGATTTACTCACTTAAGGAAATAACTAGTGTGTACCCCGTGCGATGCACGGTAACAATATTACATTAACAATATTATAAATATACCTCGAGTTTGAGTCACTCAATGGCGGAAGTGGAAACACTATTGATCCTATTTAAAAAGAGAAAGAAAAAAATAATAATTATATATTAAAGTGTCGGGGTCAGACAATGTAAAATTATTTTGTATAAGAGAATATAAATTTTTTATTATTTTGTATAATAGAATATAAAATTTGTATGTTTAATATTAAAAACACCTAAATATTATATTAGTATATGTAAAAGTATTCAAAATTTTCTATATTATTTTTAAAAGATTTGAAGTCACCTACAACTTTTCTAAACAATTTTAGAAATAAAACATATCTAAAAACATTTGAATTTAACATTATGTAAAAAAAAAAAAAAAAAAAAAAAAAAAAAAAAAAAAAAAAATTCTAGACTATTTTGTAAAAAAAGCATGTCTACAAATAATTAAATTTAACATCAATTATGTATACTAGGACGTACCCCGTGCGATTCACATGCTGTATTTATTTTGGTAAAATTTATAATTGAAGGCAATTAATCAATAAGTTATAATACATAGAACATTTGTTAGGTAATCGTAAAATGATCATCATGAAAAAATCATACATTATTAAAAAGCTCTTTGTTTTTCCATGCAAAATTATTTTTCACTTGGTAACCGTAAATCGATATTTACCAAGATTGCTCTCCACTTGGTAATTGTGAATTGCATAGACACATCATTCCTTCATTTTTTTTGTTGATTTTCAGAATTTTACCACCATGAAATAAAATTATAGTGAAAATATGTAATATTGTGATAGATACTAAAGATATGATTATCTGGTGAAGTTTAATTTTATATCGAGTATAAGTAAAAGTGTTATCTTAAAGTTAAAGTGTG